GTAAGGAAGAGGAAGAAGAATAGTTGAGGACAAGAGATCCCAAGCAAGGACCCAGAAAATATGCAGTCCATTGTAGACATTGCAAATGAGCATGACCCAAGGGATTATGAGATTCCATGGAAACCCAAGTCCTCAAAAGAGAGAGAACCTCCCACACAGTAAGGGAAGGAGAGGATATAGTACGGGAAACCATTCATTCCATGTCCCTCAAAAGAAGAGTAAAATGTTGGGCCCTGAAGACATATAAACGAAGAAATATCAAAATGAATGAGAAACGAAATAGGAGTGAGATGTGAATCATCTAAGTTGAACCAACCAACCCAAATGTGCTGTCTCCCAAAGGAAGAGAAAAGGATGGTCATAAGAAGCTTGTTGGGACAGTGACAAATGAGAAAAGAAGCATCAAAGATGTCCATCACTCATATCCAAAACCTAGGGAGAAAGGTCATTGTAGAGTGAGAAATTCCTCATGGAAAAATGAGGGTGGATGAGAAAATTAACTGAGTTTTATGTGTGAGTCTTACATCTTTCATGACTCGGTTAATTTTCTGGGAACCATGAAAATAAAACCTGGAAAAGAATGAGAAACTTATCTAATCGTGACTGCAGCCATCAAGGACACAGATCAATGCTGGCAAAAAACAAAATCCCTTGGAGGGTGTAAAATAATGGAAACAGAAGACATTGGAGAAGGAGAGGAAAAGAACAAAGGTTAAGGCTCTCTGACAGAAATCCCAGTACTCAACAACTGGCCTCAAACAAAAGGCAAAGACCCATAAATCAAATGAAACAGGTCCTACTGACTCTGAGCCTATAAAACAGTCAATGTCAAGACTAATAGTGCCAAAGTCTATGAGCAGTGGAAGGACGATTGGGAAATGGTGACAGTGAGAGAAGAAGAAGCAGGAGGACAGGAAACAGAGAGGCATAGAAGGATCACAGGAGAGATGGTAAACAAGTAAGGATAAGGCAAAATCTTTGGCATGTGACACTAACATATGAAATCAGAGCAACCAGCACACTAGTAAAATCATACAAGCTAATGAAAGGAAACAGATAAAGGCCTAAGAAATATAAGGGAGGCAAAAGCAATTGAGTAACAAGGGCATCATGCCACAACCAACTGTAGCAAAGGATCAACCAAATAAAAAGTGAAAATGCCAAGGAAGATAAACATGCCTCTGAGCATCTGTCAAAAACCCCACAGGGGAATGATGGATGACCACAGAAAGAATGTTAAATAAGGAAAAAATTACAGAAAAGGGTAGTGTGTGCAAGACAAAGGCAGGAAAACTTAAGCCTAAGAACGGCAAACAAAAGACAGAGGATCTGACCCCCAAGTCTGAAGTAAAAACTCCAGAGTTTAGGAGTCAAAGAAAGGCAATACAACATGAAATAACACCTATTCATATGGGGTAACAAATGAAAGATGACGAAGTATGTAAGCCTAAAAGTAGTAGTAAAAAATTGAATATGTAAAAAACATACCCAAGAAACCTAGTCACAAAATTATGAAAAAAAACTTGGGTATAATCAAGACAATGTGAGTAGGAGGCAAAGGTAGGTGGAAAAAAATCGGCAAAATCTTTCCGTTACAAATGAGAAACATAGACAGAGGTACATTCAGGTACAATTGAAGGCTTAGGCCACGTGAAAGATTCCACCACCCACCGCACAAAAGCTGTCACCTCTCCCAACATACCAAGACAAACCTAACACCAATATAGTTCATTGGCTAGCATAAACAAGTGTTTTTTCACACCAGACAAAGTGGGAGTTACCAACTCTTGTGAAACAATGTCTTTGTAGATACTTCCACTGAAAAATGTCTAAACTTGAAAAGTTTACGAGCAAAGAGAAATACACTTCTTTACACACAATGACCAAATTGAGAAGTGATGATAGCCCTCTACAGTTCAAAGTCAGCTGTACAAGGAGAGTGTTTCACACTCCTATTGGTGGAGGGTTGTTGCATGTTGCAGCACAACTATAAACACGTGTAATCATGTAAGGATAGGTAGAAGCATCAAGGGTTGTGGCGAGTAAAATCTGAGCATATAGAGGACAGCACAAATCAGGAAAATCTGTTGTGTGTGAGAAGGTAAGCTATCATATCAGAATTGATCACTAGAGAAAGTAATTGGAACAAAGAGATTAGCCCTCCAACTAGGTAAAAGGGACTCCAGGCTTTGGGAATACAAAAATTGAAAAGGGGAACTGCTAAAAGCCATGACAAAAGAATCCTGGTGGTGAAGAAAGTATTTGAGAGTGTGAACAAAGCTGATCCAGAAATATGTCAACATGTACACATGTCTGGAGAAAGAGGAAAACCAAATAATCCTCAGCATAAGAGGCATTTAGTAAGGAACATGAATAATCAAAAGGCATAGGTGGAAAAGAAAGTAAAGAACAAACCTGAGATATCAAATCCACAAAGAGATTTGGAGATAAATTTGCCTCTACATGTAAAGAGAAGCCTAGTTCAAATCCAGGTGGTGGAAAGAGATGATCAAAACTGTCATTCTCATGGCAGTGTTCAGAAAGAGGGGGAACACTCTCCCAATGTAGGGACAGGGAGATGAGACAGTGAAGATATTAATGAATCCACAATGTGTTTAACAATGGCAGTAACATTCTCCACATTTAATGAGCCTCCAGTGGCAACAGATGAAGTAAGGTCAGAGTTAAATTGGATGACGAGGAACCCACTTTGAGACTAATAATGCTTGGAGACAGTTTGAATGGGTAATAAAGAAAAACTTTAATATAAGTTTAACATAACAGCAAATGTACAACATTTCGACAAGGCTTTGTCATCATCAGGTCTCCAAGCATTATTAAAGGTCAGAGTTAGCTACATTTCCAAAGACTTGAGAGGAGGTAGAGTTAGTAGTGTGGATTCTCCAGAATTTTTTAAAGGTGTACATTGAAATGAAATTCAAAATAAAATAAAATGAATGAACGTTAGTGCTGAAATAAAAACAGCACAAATCTCACTACTCTGAACAAAGTTTAAACTTCAAGAAAAATGTCCATTTGTAACATCACCAAGGGAAAAAATGTAGTTAACTTTAATTGCAAGTGCTTATTGGGATCTACTACGAATGGAGGATGTGTTACACCAATATTGGTGGAAGGCTATTATCACATGATGATTACATTATGCACTAGCAAAATTCTTGTTAAAACAGATGTCTTAGGTGGAAGATAGCTCAAGGCTAGTGACATGTACAAAATCTCAAAGACAGACATATGAGAAATAACTGTTGTGTGCAGAGATGTAAAGAATAATATAACTAAAAATATGGTTGATAATACAGGGTGGTCCAAAACTATCTTTCCTGTTTTAAACTTTACTAATGAAATAGCTAAAGAAAGAGAACCATGCACTTTTTAACATCTTGTTGCCCAACTCAAATAGTCTTTATTAAAATGTCAGTAGACTTTTACATGTGCACTATTAGTGGCTCTCACCATGTCTAACCGACATTTGATTTCAGTTCACGTTTGCTGCAACATGCCTAAAGTTACAGTGGAGATGGCATCCATTATCCTGATCTTTAGCTCCATGATGTTTACTACAGGTGTGCAATACATGATGTCCTTAACATACTCCCCAAAAAAGGAAGTCCAGTAGAGTGATGTCTGGCAAATGTGGAGGCCACAAAATTGAACATCTAACCAATCCATTGCCTCAGAAATGTCTGATCTAGGAAGCATCTGATCAACAAACTCCAGTGAGGTGGAGCACCATCCTACTGAAGGATTATATATGGTTGCATTTCCTCCAGTTTTCTAATCACAAAATTTTCCAGTACTATCAGCAAAAAAAGAAAGGGCCAATAATGCTGTCACATATGAGACCACACCATACATTCACCTTTGGGTTTTCATGCATGATTTCATAGCGGTTTTTCGAGCCCCAAATGTAGAAATTACAAAAACTTCTTCATCCATTCCTCCATAGTTGGTTTCAATGGTGGTTCTTTCTTGTGCTAGCATTTATAATTACACTGTACCTCAGTCACTGACTTGGTCTCTTCAAGCCAAATGATACAATAAGTCTTTTTTTACAAAGTTGCCATTTTACGAGGTAACACTACTCATTGGAGTGAAAAAAAAAACACGACAATAAAAACTGTTTGAGTTAGGCTACAAGATGTTGAAAACTGTTTTGTTGTATTTCTTTAGTTATTTAATAATTAAATTTTAAAATATAGGAAAAATCATTTTGGGCCATCCTGTACTTGAAAGGCATTGCTAATGTCTATTATTTTAGTTGGTTCCAAATGATGATATGGTCAGTGTTGTAGTTGTGTTTTGCTGAGGCTATGATTGATTATAATTGCAAAAACAATTGACTTGTAAAATCATGTGGATACATGCATGTCAAAACATCACGTACAATACAGTTAAGCTCCTTTACAAGTGGAATATTGTTTGGTAGCTAGTTTTATTCTGAGTAACCGTGTAAACATCCAGAGATAACTTATAACAAAAAAAACTAAGATTTTTTTTCTTACTCTTATCATGAATTCTGGTTATTTTCTACAGCATTATTAAATTTTTATTAGAATTGTTAAATTAAGTTGTTTTTCTTTTTTTCTGAGGTGTATTTTAATATTTCTATTTCTCCAGTTTTCTGGAGAAGAAATTTTAGTATCTTTACAAAGTAAGGAAAGGTTAGAAAATTAAGTTTGTTTTGAAACTCTCAATGTAAAATTAGTATTTTTACATGTAGAAACTCATTTTATATAAATGAATGGTTTTCAATGATACATGTAAATACTAATCATTACTGCAAACCATGCCCTTTACATTTAAAATCATAGTATTTTACTTCAAATTTAAAACTCAGAGCTGTTTTTTTTTATGTGCCACTAAAAAGGCAAGTTTTGCATAACAAATTATTTGCAGTACATCCTTGTACAAGTGTAGAATTACATACACAAAATATTTTATTACAGTAAACTTAAACATACTGTTACAGCGAAACACACTTTTAAAACTTTTCCTTTAGTTCCTGAAAACCAACCAGGCTTATAACCGTGCACTTCAGGTTGTCCATCCATTGGAAGGTCCAAATCAACATTATCCGTCTCTACATCCCACTTAGTGTATGCTTTCTTCCCTCGAATATAGTCAGCCATTTTGGAATTTATAACTGAATAAAACTGAAAGAAAAAAAAGAAGCATCCAATTGTGTTGAAATCTTAACCTTGTAAGCAAAATGTCTTTAACTAACTTAATTTTAAATACTATTTACAAAGGGGGTGGGAGGTAGGGACTGAATATTTACATTGTTTTACAAAAAAAAAGAAAAACACACGATGCTACTGAACCTGCAGCCTTATTCTGATAAATTAAAATGTACCGAGTACCTCATAACTACATTTGACACTGTACTTTCTTAAACACAAATAATTAATATCACACCATGACATTTCTTGGATAAAAATTAAAATTATTGTTGCAAGTACAATTAGTTTCAACATGGTACAATGACATTACTACAGCACTATTTAACAAAAAGCTTTAAACATTCCATAAATATAATTCCCTTGTGTTAAACAAACATTTCTTGATAAACAGACTATGTGGAGAGGCAAATAGTTAAGCTATATTTAAGAAGGAATTAACCAGTCAGTGAAAACGATTGCTTTTAAGACACATTTATTTATTTCAGATGAGTAAGACTGAGAGGATTGTATTTCATGTTAACTGTATTATTTTCCCACCAGTTACATGTACATGATCATTACTTTAACACTAGAAACATAAATGGGTAAAAAAATGTGTATTTACCTCTTTTGTACTTATGTGATGTAAACATTTAGAATTGAGTGCCATAGGAAACAAATGTATTTGTATTTGAATAGCTCTCAGGATCTTCTTTCATTTATTTCAATGCAAGTCTTCATGTTTCAAGAGTACAGGGTTATTTTCTACACTTGTGCATGGAAACAGGATTTGATATATGGGGAATACAGGGCTACAAATCCCCTATAAGAAATGAGAACTACTTTTAACAATTATAATTAAAAACAGTGGGGGGGGGGTCTGTATGACTCCTCCATTCTGGCAGAGTTGTCAATGTTTTTGCTTTAAACAACATGTGGTTATGTATTTGTAAAGCCTACTAAAATAAACAAAAGTAATGTGTGGTATATATTAATAGCTACTCTACGTAGTGATAAATTATTTGAAAATATATACATCTCAGCAGGCACCCCCTTTAACAGATAAAGTGTACTTTGAACACTGTGTTAGAATTCATAATTTTATTTTTCTACAATGAAATAAAACTTATTTATAACCCTTTTTAACTGCTTACTTCACCTTGCAAAACCAAGTTTTATTTTGTTTGTTTTGGAATACGTCTCCAAAGATGAAGGTTAAATTACCATTTTAAATAGTACACACCTGACGCCTGAATTAAATAGGGTTTTATATTCTATTGTTAAAATGCTGCAATACGCTATTAGTAGTAGTAGTTATACCACGCTAAACATCCCGTGAGTGGCAATAAATACAGTAACATATTTGTTAAGATAATCGATGTAATTTGTAAATATAAGGCAATAGGCGTAAAATGTTGTTACCCTATGAACTATGACCTAGTACTAGTAGTAGTACTTCATAATATTAATTTTACATAATCTTAGACTAACTAACGTTAAAAGTCGAACTTTTAGTTTTAAGACGTAGACTATGGTTTTACTTGTAGTTTTAAATTTAATCTTATGACTATAAGTTTAACACTTAGTAACAGTATGACTTTCAAAAAAGTTAATCAAAAACTAACAGTAATACTAAAAAGTTAAAAATAAAATCCACCAGTAAAACTTATTCATATTTATTGACGTGTCATTCAATTTTTCATATAAATTTCATAAAGAATTATTTAAATTTCTGAAATACTCACATATAAAACTTACAGCTACCAGTTGTTCAGCAGTTTATTTTGTGTCGAAATTTCATGCTACCCATACACAATAAATTGTTTACCTGCGCGTCACCTATATTACAGTCTACAGATTGTGTAATTGAGCTCATTTCTGTGTAGATCGTTTACTTTAGTTATTTCTTTTATTCACAGCCAAGATACATATAATTAATTTTCTAACCAAAACATATTAACATTAGCCTTTAAAATGTCAAAATACCGATATTCCTGACTTTACTAAATATAACAAAGAATACTCAAAATTATAGAATAATGAAATAAATTCGTATATTCAAAAGAACAAATTACCAGCAAATCTTGAGGCATAACATATAATAATAAATTATGCTTGCTATTAAAACAAACTATGCCACTCCGCTATAGCCGGTAAGAAGACCGGTTTAAAAATGAAAAGGGTTGCTAACAAAGTTTGCAACCGGCGTGGAAAAACCTTGTAAAACAAATATGGAGAAAAATCACATGGTATGCCATAGAGCTAGGGCGTCCCCCATAAACGACACGCACTACTATTCCTTGGGCAGTGTGAAAAGTTAGCAAGGGGTACCGTTGGACCAATGAAAGCGGCTGAAGAAGAGAACTGGGATAGTAACCTGGAATGTTTGCAAATAACTGGAAGAGATAGAGAGTTAGCACATACGCTAGATGATTATAGGGATAATAGATTGTGAGAGTAGACCTGAGTGCACATGTAGGAGGGAAGATGGACGGGTTTGAAGGGACACATGAGGAGAGACGCTATTGGATAAATAACGAGAAAGAAGAGAGATTGCTAGAAATGGCAGAGAGTACGGAGTTGTTCCTGACAAGCAATGGGTTACTGTAACGAATTTGTTACGTATTTATTTTAATATGAACGTTGTTTAGGTTAAGTTTATATTTAAAAACACACATAACTTATACTGTTAGATAGGTATTGCGAAACTCCCGCCTATTCTCCAAACTTGTAGAAGATTCTCAAGAGTAAGAATCAACAATATATGTGTGTGTACTTAAACACTTTAACTAGTATTGTCACGTAAGACTAGAATTTCTAGAACACCTCCACACAGCTATAAATAAAACCAATGGGAGTGTCTATTCTTAGTTCGCTATAATCAATGTGCTATAAAATTTCGAAAGCTATAACTCTGATTTTTATAACGCTTATCAATCGGAAAACTTAAGATATTTGACCAGGAACCTTTACAAAGTTCGAACATTACAAATTATTTAGCTTCAGTGGATTCTCATCAGACATTAGTATTTTTATGAAACATTACCTGACTTCAGCGGTGGAAAAATTGGCGTGTGATCGGTGACAGACAAAGCTAGCATACACGTGTGACCAGAACAAGACGCAGATTGATTACATCCTAATTCGAAGGTGAGACAGAAAAAGGGTGTTGGATGTAAAGGTGATGCCAGGAGAAGTAGTGGCAACATAGAATGCTGATAATGGAGATGAAAAATAAGAGGAAGAAGAAGAACGAAGAGAGAAAATGAATTGAGAAGATTAAGGTGTGGAAGCTAGACGGAGGAAACTAAGTGAAATACAAAGAGGCAATTAAACGAAAGATGCGATAGGTTCAAAAGACTATAAGAAATATATAGTTACTGGAAAAAATTAGAGAAGTGCCTGATTCAATTTGCAGAAAATATTTACGGCAAAACAGAAGGACGTGGACCTGAACAGAAAGAAGCACGGTGGAGAGAAAAAGCACAGCAAACCATCAAGGAAAAGAAAGAAGCTTTGAAAGAATGGCAAATAAAGAACCATGCCTATTCAAGAATGACGTACATAAAACGCCAAAAAAAAGAAAAGAAAGAGAGCAGTAGTAGTGATAAAGAATAGGGCAATTATAAATTGGTATGACAATAGGAAGACATCAGAAGGAGAGAAGAAGGTATACAAAATAGCAAAGTAAAGAGAAATAGCAAAGAGAAACATCACAGTAATCAAAGTAATTAAAGATAAAGAAGGGTAGCTCCTGACGAATAAAAAGACAGCAAAACAGAGATGGAAACAGTACTATGAGGAACTACTTCAGACCAAAAATGAAGCAGAAGAATTGGAGGAGACAGCATCAAAGCAGGCCCAGTATTGGACGTTAGTAAAGCAGAGGTCGAACAAACAACCGGAAAAATGAAGAGAGGCAATTATATTAAAACGGAAGGTTTAATAAAGATTGTCATTGAGATAGTCAAAGCACTAGGAGATAATAGAGTTGAGTATCTATGGACCCTGTTGAAGAACATTTGGAGGGAAGAGCAGTTACTCACAAAATGGAGAGACAGCCTATTGATACCCATCTACAAGCAGAAATAAAATGCTCTTGGGGTGAAACTATAGAGAAATAAAACCGGTGGAGCATCTGCTGAAAATGAAAGAAAAGGTACTGGAAAAGATAATAAGGGAAGTTGTAGACATCAACAAAATACAGTTTTGGTTTTGATCGTGGGGGGGGGGGGTAATAAACGCAATCGTCATTCTGTGATAGTTGCAGGAGTAGTACCTTAAGAGAAACAGGAAGTTATACCATGCATTTGTACATATAGAGGAAGGGTATGACAATGTGCCACAAGAATTAGTATAATGGTGTTTCCAAAAGAGAGGAGTGCCCGAAAAGTTGATCAGACTAGTAAGAGTCACTTATGAAGAGCGACAACAATTATGAAGACAGTATATGGGTGGACAAGTTTGAAGTAAGTGTTTGACTGCAACAAGGGTCAACCATTATCTCCTTGCTGTTCGTCATTGTCATCGACATCTTGAGTAAGGAGTACTGCAAAGGACCCCTGTGGAAGATATTATTTGCCGACGACCTTGTCCTGACAGTTGGAAGTGAAAAGTTACAGATGCAAGTTAAAGTGTGGCAGAAAAGTTTGGAAATAAGAGGCTTGAAAGTTAATACAATCACTTCCATATCATGTGATAATCAAATCGATCTATTGAAACACAGCTTGTTAATTATTAAATAAACTGTAAAAATTAATTTAATTCAAGAAATAAGTCTTTCTGTTTAACTCAAATGGTATAATTAAACAATATCAAAAAGTAAAATTAGTTATTTTAGAATACAGTTCTAATAAAAAGGAAGAGAAAAGTTCAAATGGTCCCTGTTCTTCTTTTTCAGAAGACTAGAATTATTTCCACAAATAAGTCTTCCAGAATTCAACTTAGTTCGTAGGCTTATGTTAAACTTCCACTTACCCACCACAATGCCAAGATCCTTTTCATCAACCATGCTGTTGAGTGAGTTCCCACATATGTTAAACTAAATGCATTGCTTTATTCTTACTTTAATTAAAGGTCATATGCCAACTAAGTGTCTACATGACCAAATGATTCATATCATTTTGTAGGACCTCAACATTTTCGATACAGCTAGAAGTGCTAAAGAATTTATATGAGATTAGGCTTCTTGAGATCGCTAGAATAACTACAATTTTAAATGGTATCTAACAATTTAAGCTAAATCTGCATTGCTAAGTGTAAAAAAGCAGTAAGAAAGAATTCAAACGTTAAGTAGTCAACTCAAGAGGGATTGTCTAGCAAGCTTCTTTTTCTTCTTTTAGTTTCTGTTCTGGCAGCCCTACGGCGCAGATGTACATCAACATCACTAAAATAGTACCGCTCCAACACGAGCTCATTCAACCCCCAACAGTTATGTGGCAGCTTTCGTACGACTCAGAAAGAACATCAACAGGTGGCATCAAAAGTAGCAGCAATCGTTTTTACATTAGTGGAAATGGCATGAAAAGGGCTACTCGCATATGTGATAAACTACAAACAATTGTAACGCGCATGCAGTGGCTGCATGGTGTTAAAACAGATTTTCCTAGCTACCGGACCTAACAATATCAGAGAATAATATGGGCTTCATTGACTACATCCAAGTAATGAAACAACATCCAAGGGGGGGAGGTAAAGTTGTACATGATCCTCCTGAGTCTCATTAACAAATAACAATGAGATCAACAGATTTCCTTTTCTTCTCTTGACAGGTATTTCAGGGTTTCCCCTAGGGTGG